AAATATTTATCAACAATTTTTAACATGTGGATATAAAATTATTACGAAATAATAATGTAAATACTTGTTTTGACAAAAAAATATTACAAAGAAATACATTAGTGCTTGCAAATTCAAGTGAATTTTAATATATAAATCATGAATTTTATTTATTTTTAAGTAATTAAAATAAATTATTTTTTAAGGATGTTAATATTGAATCATTAAAGAAAAATTTAAATACATATTTGAGTGGAACCCAAACATTAGTAAAGGTAAAATTATAATTTGATTCCAAACGCAAAGTTGAAAATGAAAAAACTACAAATCATAGCTTTTGTGGTTGGTTTGAAACCATCGTTTTCATCCTAATTTTTTATTTTACTTTTTACCTATTTGACATTTATTTTACAGTCAAAACGAACTTTTAAACTAAAAATGCGTTTAGAAAGAAACACCAAACGGGACTTGGGTCGAATTATCAAAATTATCCATGCTCATTCAATTTTTAGAATTTAGATGTTGTTTTATAAATTAAAAAATTAAATTTCAAAGAATTTAAATGCAAAAGAATAAATGTTAAAAATGTATAAGAGAATTATAAAATATTTTTATTTAATTTAATTAAAAAATATTTTTTAAAATAAAAAATATTAATTTAAGTAAAAAGAAATTTCTTTTACTACCTATGTTTAGATTGATCCGGTAATACATAATATAACTTGAAAGTATTTAAAATTGAATATAATCTATTTTAATAATACTGCAAATAATAAATAAATTTCTTCTAAAAAAATAATGATAACAAATAACAAAATTTAATATTTAAATATCATTATTAATGTTTCATATGCAAAAGTTTAATATTTGTACACACTCTAATCCAATTCGACCCGAAGACCAAAGGATTAAAGTACCACACGAGACCACAGAAGTGGTTAACTCAAAGATTTCCTTTTAAATTAACTGCAAACTGTGATCTATAAAAGTTTATCCATAATAATATAAAATAATAACATAATAAAACTGAGTTTACAAGTCCCAAATCATTCAAAATAATAATATTGAGTTTAATACAAAACGGATTTACGACTGAATACAAGGGTCTACAAATAGTACATGCCCTCTAATGTAAATCAAGACGTACTCTGAAGCCTCGATTGATATGAAATATCTGATGACGATAACGCTCCACGGACGATCTCTTAAAAACCTGTGCACAAAAACACATTCCGAACGTCGAGCTTACGAGCTCAGTGCCGTACTAATAATTATATTATACTACACGCATTCACTAAACGAGCATGCTAGTGGCATAGGTATGAAGACATAGGATGTTAATATGACATGCTTAGGTAGACATTATGGTGTGGTTAAGGGTTCTGCATCTCAGGGCATACACACCTCTAGCCTTCCTAAAATACTCTTGGGTATTCGGGGTGAGATCAGGAACTGCATCATAGACATACACCTGATCAACTTACTATGTTGAGTCTTGGGGCATCTGCGCTCAACTGGTAACTAAAGTACCTTGGTACTAACTAGGATATATCTGAACTGTACGATCGTCGTCTGCTAAAGTGACTCGGATGTCCTAACTATTTCCTGAGCATCAAACAAGGCTATTTTTATGTCATCCTATTTGTTATTGTTTCTAGTTGTTTTGAGCTTATTATTGTTCTCACTTGTAGTTTTATTTCATGGCTTCCTGGTATTATTGGATCCATCAAATCTATCCCTTAAAACCCTTGGGTTTCTTACCCAATATTGTTTGTGGGTACCAATACTAAGCTCCTTCAATATCGATATTAACCCCTGAGTATCGATACTAACCTCTAGGTATCGATACCAAGTGACTATCTGGAACTAAGAGAAAAGGGGTGGTATCGATACTCGGTTTGAGTATCGACACTTCTGGTATGTGGTATCGATACTATCCTAAGTATCGATACCAAATTTGGCTTTGATGTTTGAAAAATACCTTAGTATCGATACCCTTATTAGGAGTATCAATACTCTACCCCTAGTATTGATACTCCCATGAGTACTGATACCAAAATTGCCTACTGGAATCTGCTAAGTGAACTTGGTATCGATACCATCCTGCGAGTATTAATACCTTAGATACAATATCAATAACCATTGTATGAGTATCAATACTTCTAACCCAAAATCCCCTTGTTTCTAGCAATTGAAGAACAATATCAGTATTGTTCTTTCAGTACCGATACTCATGCCCAGAAAAACCCTATTTTAGGCACAAAATTGATCCTCTAACTCACACAAAAGTCCTAGTGAGGTTCCCAAAAATTATTAAAGTGTTATGTGTGATAGCATGGGTCATAATAGGTTCGTAAACATACTAAAAAACACCAATTATTAAAATCTACCATGAACATGCTTCATGACTCATGCAAGCTAACAAATTCACCTAGTGATCAACATTGTAGTAGAGTTGAGTTAGACACCTTGAGTTCTAAGTAGCTGGGAGCTTCTTCAACTCAATCAAGAGTGAGTTTTTCCTTTCCTTTGCACTTGGAGCTTTCTCTAACTTCTCTCACTAGGCAAGAAATCAAACATAAAGGTTTAGTACATCACTTGAGCTCAAATCATTCCAAAAACGGGTTGATTGAACTTAGGTTCTAAAACCCTCTACTAAACCTATATTCGATAACCATGGCCAAAATTTTCTATTGAGAGCTTTAGTAAAAGCTTAGTAAATATAGATTTCATTCCTTACCTTGGAATCCTTGAAATAGGCTTATAAAACTAAAAGCTTCAACCTTTGTTCTACTATTGGAGAGGAAGAAAATGATGAGGAAGAAAGGAAGAAATAAGACAAAGAAGAGAGTGGTGAAAAAGAGAGGGAAAACAGACGTGAGATCATCAATAATTAAAGGATTTCAGCTTTTGAAATTCTAAACGGTAAAATTGTTTTTTCACCCCTTCATCTTTCATCCAAGGATAAAAAATGCCTTTTTAAAAAAAATCAAATGGGCTCGCCTAAACTATCTCGGGTTAACCCGAAACTTCTAATATGGGATTTAGGGTGTTACAATATTAATTAAAGTTTTAAATTTAAATTATTTATAATGTAAGTAGAATAATGAAGTAGTATAAATTTATTTCATACCAATAGAGATAATGAAGTGGTATAAATTTATTTCATACCAATAGAGATAATGAAGTGGTATAATGTAAGTAGACTAATGAAGATTATTCTTATTTGTTATCATATTGATCTTTTTTTTTGGATTCTCGAGTTAGATTTGGATATGTGATTTATGTCCGTGGATAGTTTTCTCACATTGCTCAATTATGATTTGTGGTTTGTAGGTTTATTTCAATAGTTTAATCTCATTTTATGGTTCGTTTGTCGACGCAGTCAGATATGTTCTTATATACCTTTTATTCGAGTTTATTTGATTAGATTTTTTAACTTATTCCTTATTTGGTCATTATATGATCTTAAATGACGAGTTTCTTGTATTAATAATTATAGAAAAATGTTCTTATTATATGTTTAGTTTACAATTGTGGCCATAAACCTTCATCATAATTTGAATTTTTTTTTGATAAAACTAGTTGCTTTAATGTTATTAAAAAAATGTCAAATTATATGTAATATTGTAAAGATCAACTTTCTTTTCTTTTTATTAGTAATTAATGTAAAGGTAACTTAGATAATTAAACTAATAAAATGAATGAGGCTTAAATTAAAAATATTATGAAATTTGTTACATCAAATTGTAAAATTTACTAAATCTTGTAAGATAACCAAAACATAATTTACCAAAAAAATTAAGGGTCCTTGATTCTAAAAAATATTTTTTTTGTTTTTATTTTTAGAAAATAGTTTCCATTTTTATTTTTTTTTTTAAAATTAGAAAACATGTTTGGTTAATATAAATCAAATCTTGATTTCAAAAATAAAAATAGTTAAAATATATTAGGTATCTATCTTTTAAAATAGAGATGAACAAATAGTTATTAAATAATTATATTAATATAATTATTAAAAAAGATTCATTACATAAATTTAATATTGAGTTATGCAAATATAAAACAATAAAATTGATAATAAATTTTATTATACAAAAATTATTTTAGTTTATAGTAAGAATATAATGTTAATACAATTGGACATCAATTAAATTAAAAAATATACAAAAATATTACTGTAAACAATAGCACAAAAAAGTGTCTTGTTAAAATAAAAAATATGTTTAGTGGTATTTGAGGTCCTCAAACTTTTGGGGAAAAAAACTAGTGTAGCCCTTGAACTTTTTTACACAAAATGTAACCCATAAATTGAGAGAAAAAAATCAATATAACCCTTTGAGTAACATAACTAAACGTTAAACGTCATGATGCTTACACGACAGTTCACAAAGCTTACTTATCAATATACAATATTGATATGATAATTCAAGATGTTGTTGTGGTAGTACATGATAGATGATGATGTGATAGATGAATTTAATTGATTTTTTGACTAAGTTTGAGAACCTAATTAATTCTTATAGAAAGTTTACGCACTTAATTAATCTTTTAGAAAAAATAAAAAAATATTTAAATTTAAAACATAAAATATAGACAATAATTAAGATATTTAATACATTAAATATAAAAATGTTAAAAAAATAAATTATTAAAAAAATTAGCTTAAGGACCAAATTGAGTGTAAATGTTTCATTATTTTTCAAATTTCCAAAATAATTTTAATGAAAATATCTTTTTTTATGTTTTCTTATTTTTACTTATTTTTGTTTTCATTCTCCATGAATCATTTTCTAATTTTATAACCAAACACATTTTCTTTAATATTTTTTATTTTCTAAGAAAATAAAAAATAAAAAAAATTTATATTCTCTAAAACCAAATACACACTAAATATTTAGGAGGGGCAAAGCATATTTTATCAATAATTTAAGTAATAATTAATAATAATTATTTAACATTGGAAAAAGAAAGTTTAGGGTCCCGGTCCCTATTAAGACCTTAATTTAAGTTGGTCAAACCTCAAATCCGAAAGAACAAAAACCCGGTGAACCACCCAACGTCTAAACTTGACTTTCAGACCGTAGCCGGTCCAACGATCGGTCGCCTACGTTCTCCTCCCCTGACCCTCCTATGAGCAAACGATCAAATGACGATTTAATAGATTTTGTCAAACTCCTGGACGGAGTAGCCGACCCCTCATCGCATCCACCAACCACCGGTTTTGGTGACCGGATCGACCCGAACCTTGAAAAAAACGGAGGAGTCGTAGTGAACCCCCGCTGATCGAACCTCTCGTAATTATAATAATTCCTGCCTAAACTCCTACTCCTATAACCCCGCTTCAAACTCCTCGCTCGGGGGAGCGACTCGCAACTTTTAATACGGCTCAAACTAGAGTTCATCAGCTGGCTCCGTACATCCTCCGGCAACCGTAGTGTAAACCTCTCGCGGTTCTCCGTCGTTTGAACCAACGAGTGACCCGTCGAGTGAGACCGTGGAAACAACAAGGTTAACCTCCACCCCGTCGACCGTGACCTTTGCTGCTTTGCAACCTGATTAACATCCGGCGATTCTGTGTCCGTTATCTGATTAACAACGTCTACGTGACTGGGTTGATCGATTGGGTTAGTGTTTTCGGGTCGGGTTTCGTGTTCGGAGTCCGAATCGTTTACTTGGACCACGGCGGCGCAGGTGATCACCGTCTCGTCTGGGTTGGAAACCAAATTTGAGCGGCAAACGGGGCACGTGGAATGAGAAGAGAGCCAAGCGTCAATGCAACCAGGATGGAACACGTGGCTACATGTCGGAATCATACGCAGCGTTTCGTCGTCCTCGAACTCGTTTAAGCAAACGGCGCACTCAAGCGTGTCTTTCCCGATTTTGAATCCTTTGACAGTTGAGTAAAGGAACGTCGGGAAAGACTCGATCACCGAGGGATCGAGTCCACGTATCGATCTCCTCGACCGCCGCCCGAAATTCACGGCGCCGTCCCAGTCCCAGTTCCCGCCTTGACTTCTCCTCTCGGCGCACTGCCTGATGTAAACCGAAAAGAATCCCATGAAGAAAAACACCGTCACCAAAACCACCATGATAATCGCCATCGACGGGTTGAATCTGTGTCCAACCGGCCCATAGGGATTGATCGGTGGAGGCGGCGGAGCTGACGTAACTTGGCTTTGCGCCGTTGACATCGAGACAACGAAACATAGAAAGAAAAGAAGAGAATTTGTCTTGGCCTTTGATTTGCAGTTGCTATTGCCATGGTTCTGCCAGGAAAATCTATGAAACGAACGGCTACGATCTTTTCGATTCATCTGGTACTGGGTTGAAGACGACAGCAGCAGGTGGAGCGTTGATTTTGCTTGCTCATGAGTTTAATGACACAGTATTTATATATTTTAGCTGTGATTTTAATGATTTTCTTGTTGCCTAAAAGCAAAGCAAAACAATGTTTAAACCCACAATTTTTTTTTTTAAAAAAGGTTTGAGCTAATACTTGAAAGCCAAGACAAAAACAAAGGAAATGGAAGAAAAGTACGGCGTCATAGTCTTAGTATGTAGCAGGTGGTTTAGGATATATATGGGAGAAGAGAATTGTTCTTCCACGCGCCATGGACTGCGCATGTGATTCAAACTAAAGGGTTACCTCTTCCTTAAGACAATACTGTAGGTAAGTATACTGTTTAATGTCTTGTGTTTTGATTTTAACTACGTTCTAAAATTGGTCAAAATTCTACTAATAGTCCTTATATTATATTCAATTATGAATTTAGTCATCCCATGTTATTTTAATTTTTTACTTTATTATTTTTTTTATTTTAGAATTTTAATTTTAAAAGATATGGTGGTCATTAAATATGTTAATTTAAAATTTATTATTAGTTATTATATTTTATATAAGATATAGATTTATCTTAAATTCTTTACTTTTACCGTTCAATCTTTATAATTGAGTTATATGATTTTTGTACTATTTAATTTAAAAATATTAAAACTACATTTGACCAAACGAAAATATAAAATCTAAATACATATCTTACATATAATATAAAAAGGTAAATGATAAAATTCAACGAACAACCACACTTGTGTGAGGGTGTACACATGCTCACTATAAAATTCAAGTTTTCTCCTAATAATTATATGTTTTTTTAAATATTCATCCTAAAATTTTATTTTTATATATGTCTCATATATATTATTAATAGATATATTTATCTCAAAAAATATTTATAAATATATCATTAATAAATTTTCTTTCTCAAAATTTTAAAAAAATAAAAGTTGCACATATAAGTTTGACACGTAATCAGCATGAAACTGGGTGATTCACGGTGATTGGTTGATGTGAAATGTGTTGGTCAGAATAGATGAGATGTTCTAAATTTATTCGAAATGTGAGATTCATGTGATTTCACCTTAAATAAGTTTGAATATTTCAAATTAATATTAAAAAACTTAATTCTATTTTAATTATCCACATTTATTTTGATAATTTCAAAAGAATAATTTATATAAAAAAATTATATTTAAAATTTAAAAACTATTTATTAATATTAAAAACAACGTGAGAGCCTTATGGGTTTTAGTGGCTATATCTAGATTGACTTATCTACCAAAAAATAATACTAATTAATCTCATAGATGATGACAAATTTTTTTAATAATGCTCTGAAAAAAATCTTCGAATAATGCTTTGGTCGGATTATTTGTTGGAATAGAACGAATGATACAATACACAATAAAATGCATGGATTACCATGCGACACCCCATGCATGGCGCATGGAGTGCCATGCGACTCCCATGACCAACGCATGGACTGTCATGTGATTGTCTTGCATGGCCCATGTAGACCTACCAGCTACGCCCGTGAATGTTGCATCCTGCTCGACTCAACGATGCTCCCTGCTCCAGTCAAAGCTCGTGAAGGCCTATAAGCAGCTTCCCGTGAAGCAGCAATGGCCAATGCTGCAAAAATTAGAATTATAGCAATAATTTGGCACCGATAATATGTGGAGTTAAGTTATACAAATCAGACATGGGCATGGTTCGAGCAAGGTAGAAATAGAAGAGAAAGGAGAGGAGAAGAAAGAAAGAAAGAAACGTACCAGGTAATTTATTTATTCATATACTAGGGTTCGAATAATTTTCAAATAATATGAATGCATGGTTCATATATTATGCATGCAATAATATGTATGATCCCGTGAATTTTTGTTTTCATGCTATGAAAAAAATGGTTCTAATAATGTTAAACCGAAATTTGGTAGCAATAGTATGGATTCTCCCGTGAATTTGGAAGTAATAATATGCATGCATGGTTTATATATTAGTGTAGATAAGTTTTTGTTGTTGTTTAAATTAGTTAGTTAGTTAAGGGTAAAACTAGTTTAGATTATTTTTAGATTAAATTGTTATGGCTTAAATTAATGTTTAAAAGTTATTTTTCTGCAGATTCATTTAAACGATGGAACAAAATTAGTTGTTTCATCTTGACGCTCAACATATTTCTAGCCATTTGGGATTGATGGTGTTATTATTAATTAGTGTTGAAAACATTTTGATGTTTTGATATAACAAATTAAGTTTAAATGAATTTTAAGATTTTACAAATGATTTTCTAAGTATATTCGATTCAATTAATCGAATATCAAATTATTACTCCAAATCTTTATATATCTTTGAAACAGCTTTCACAAAGTATTTTGAACCAAAATCAAGCCTTAAATTCAATTATTCAAAGGCATGCACCGATGCATCAAACTATGCACCGATGCACCCGATGATTTAATTGAACATCGAATGTGTAGACACTAATTTTTCAATTTCATTAAAATTATTTTTAATTATTATTATTAAAATTATTATTATTATTATTATTAATATATATATATATATATTACAAGCCCAAAGGACCCGGAGGCCCATTTTACAAGCCCAAAACCCGAAGCCCGTTTACAATTCCGATCATAAATGGCCTAATAGAAACCCTAAACCCAATTAGGGTTTCATTCTTCTCAGCCAGCCGCCAATGATCTCAGCCGTTGGATCTGAGAGATCCAACGGTCCACAGATGGTTCCAGCAAATGAAACCCTAGGGTTTCCTAACCCTAGGTTATCATCCGCCGTTTCCTGAAGCCTCGCGCGACGCCGCCTCATGTTTCCAGAAGAGCTCAGCTGCCACCTCCAGGTGTTCCACCCCGCTGTAGCCATGACATCACCGCCTCTTCGAAGACTCCAGAAACATCACGCCGACCGTCCACGTTTTAGCTATGGGGTGAGTCACCACATAGTTTGGTGACTCACCAAAGTTTCCACTCTTTAACCAGTAAGAGAGGAGCACCGTGGTGGCTATAAAAGCCACCGTTACCTGCAAAATAAAGGGGGGGGCAACAGAGACGAGCCACGAACCCACAACCAACAAAAAAAAAAAAAAGAGACAGAGAAAGAGATACGAACAACCAGAGCAAGAACTACAGCCACGAGAGAAGAGACCACGGCGAAAACGGGAGAGTCGAACGAATAACAAGCAACCACAACAGCCAAATATCGTAGGAAAAGAGAGGAAAGAAACATACCGAAGAACTTGCAGTCATCAGAGCCTCCTTGTGCGACCGTAAAACCGAAAGGTTGAAGGTAAAAAAGGCTAGATCTACGACGTTAGGTAGATTTTTAGGTTAAGATAACCCTGGATTTAACTTTAGGATAACCGGGGCTTTGATTTGGTGTATATTAGTAAATTCCGGCCACCATGTACGGTGGCCGGCTGCGGCGGCGATCATCACCAGAGTATGGTGGTTGGCGGCTGCTGGAGATCGCCTCCGATAGGAGGAATTTAGAGAGAAGCGAGAGAAAAGTTTCCTCCCTCAGTTAGAGAGAGAGGAGAGAAAGAAGAAAATGAGGGAATGGCCCGAAGGGCCGGCCTGAGTTGGGTTTAAATGCCCTCTCCCAAACGACGCCGTTTTGGGGGAGGGGTATTTCTGTAATTACCCTCAAGGGTAAACCCTTTCCGCAGCCCTCTATATTTGTAACTTTGCAATTTAGTCACTGAAATTGATTTTTAATCATTTCAATTCGGTTTTATAATTTTATTTAATTTATAATTTAATCCTTGCCTGCTTATATAATATTTAGGGTAAATACCCATTTTAGTCATTATCAGTTTATATATCTTTAGGATAAATAATAAATTTAGTCCCTTATGTTTTAATAATTATTATTTTAGTCACTAAATTAATAAATACGTAAAATAGGATGTTTAGCCACTGCAATATTAAATAATTAATTATGAATTAGAGTATTTAATTTCAATATGTTATAATTTAGTCATTAATTTTAATACTTTTATTTAATTACAAGTTTTATTAATTTTTATATTTAGTTTTAATTTTATTTTAATTATTGTTTAAATATATTTTAATTTTATATGTTTAATATTTTAATTAGTATTATTATTTTATTTTTATTAATATATATTATTTGATTAATTTTATAAATTAATAATGTTTATTTATTTTTAATATCGAAGAAAAGAACAGTCTTAATACAACTGGATGTCCTATTCTGGTATTTTAAATAACTAAATATTATAAAAATTATAATTTAGTTTTATTACATTTTTAATATTTATTTTTATTTATTAATATCAAAGGAAAGAGATGTCTTAGGGTACCTAGAAGCCCTTTTCTGATATTTTTAAATAAATAAATATCTTACTGTATTAAAATAATTTTTTTTTGTTATTATCTTAAGAAAAATGTTTTTATATTTATTTATTTTTAATATCAAAGAAAAGAGCTGTCTTAAGTCACCTAGAAGCCATTTTCTGATATTTTTAAATAAATAAATATCTTATTTAATTTTTATTTTTTTAAGAAAATGTTTTTAGTTATTTATTTTATTTTTTAATATCGAAGAAAAGAGCTATCTTAAGGTACCTAGAAGCCCTTTTCTGATATTTCTAAATTAGTAAATATCTTATTTATTAATATATTTTCTTAAAATTATTTGAAATAGTAGAATTATGAATTAAATATATCTTTGAATTTTTAAATTTCCAATAATATAGACAACTTATAATTAAAAAGTACCAATTTTGGGCGTTGTAGGGGTGCTAATCCTTCCCTAAACGTAACCGACCACGAATCCCTTTTTATTATTAAAAAGAACAAATTTTTGGTTATAAACGCAGATCAGTTCATCTTTTAACTGATGTTTTCTTAAAACACTTTTAAAAGATAATTTTTAGGTATTCGACTTACCTAACCCAAAAGGCCGATGGCGACTCCCCAAATTATTTTAAAAAACCATTTATTCACATCACTTTTCCCGCCAAATAAATATTTCGTGCCCGGACGAAATCCGGTTACGACAGCTTGGCGACTCCACTGGGGATTCAAGT